GTTGCTGAAACAAAGCTTGCAATATGACCTACGAAACTGGGCTGGCAGGGGACTGTAGCCAAAATTGAGTTTGTCTTTAAGCTCTTCATCCATTCATCCAAATTAGGCCCTAACATGCATGGATTGCATCATTTACTATCAAAAGCCCTCATTATTACCTAAAGCTCAATGAACTGAAAGATAAACACAAAAAGGATTAAAAGCACAAGTTTAACTCAAAAACATAACCAAATCATAAGCTAGAAGGGTACAAAATGATATGTAAATATGCACCGATCACTCACTGAACGCTGCTTTGTTGCAGACATGTCTAAAACTGCTATTAGAGTTCTCGGATGAGGATTACCAGGTTGCGATGCTGGTTTTCCTCTCAAAACTTGCTTCCAGGTCAACCATTCTTATATCTCAGCAGGTAATTATTTTGGTAGCACATTCCTCAAAATTCTTGACCCATACTTCTTATTGCTATCTGAATGCAGGTGGACTTGCTTCTCCTGTTTCTTAGCCATGAAAAGAGTCTTCAGCTGCGAGCAACAGCAGTAAGATGCCTACATTTTATTTTCAGTCAACGAATGTGTCACATTCCTGTAAATGCATATCTCGTGAAAGTGTTGTTAAGCATACTAGATGAACCTCAAATTCCGACATCCATGCTATGTGAGGTTCTTCAAACTTTACGTAAGGTTGTTTCTCAGCTCATACAGATGATTTTGTTATTTGTTGTTTATGTTGACTCACCTTCAGCATTCTGCAGATGATTTTATGTATGCCACACAATCTACCCTATGATGTCCTCGAATCTTTGAAGCTGTTAAGCATGGCTGAGAATGCACCACCATCTCCTATCACATCCGAGAGCCTGTTAGCGATTTCTGTTTTGGTAGATATGTCAAGAAGACTAAAAGGAAAGAAGTACAGGGATGGGATCTCTCGTGCGTTGTTACTCTCTTCAGCCATCTCAGATGATCTTGCGTATCATAGATCATATCACCATAATGGTGAAGCCAGTTTTGGATCTTTGTCAGAATGCCACTGTTGAGTTTCAACAAGTTAACTGCCTGCTCAATCTTCTTTTCCTTCTAATCCAAGAATATCCTGATTTACATGTCTTAGTGCTGGGTCAAATATCTGTTTTAGTCAAGTCTCTCTCATATATGCATGATGATCTCGTTGCAACAACAGAAACAGATGCATGTATTCGTTATAGTGTAGACTTGAAAAGAGAGAAGAGCAGAATTGTCAGATCAAAGCTTCTATTTAAGGTGTACAGGTTTTTGGTGGCCTTTCTTGAAAATCTCAATGAAGCTGGTGCCATCTTCACTGAAGTATTTGACGAAGTGAAGCTTCTGGTCGAACTTGTATGCCAAAGCAACTTGTTTGAATGTCATACATACACACTCTACTCTCTGTTGCTGCGTTGTCAAATAATTTGGGGTAACATAGTAAATGAGAGTGAGGGAAGTTGCAATCCTGATAGAAACTCGGGCATATCTCTTGATAATTGGCCTGCTTACAGAGTCTGGGTGTATGCAGCGTGTCAAGGAGATTGGCTGACCACGACTTTTATATTGAAGCAGTTAGTATTAAAGGTTCGTTCTAATTCCTGCAGCTGCTGGGTGAAGTCATTAGTTCAATTTGCTGAATCTGAGAGGAAACTAGAGCTGCTGCTATTACCAAAACAAGGGTTAGAGACACATAAATTACATCTTACACCTTTGGGTAATGATTTAGGTTGCCAGGATGCAGCGAGTAATATCAAGGAGCATATTTACAGCACAGAGCTAGCAGCAGCTTACAATGGTCCTTGTTCTTCTTTGGAAACATTAGAAGTTGATGATGTCCAAACGGGCCACACTTTTTATTTCCAACACTGGTTTTTGTCCTTAAGAGTGAAGGTAATAAGAGCTGTGGTGGATATAGTTAAAATTTTGGGAAACATTCCATTTGATCAGGACAACACTACCAATAATGGAAAGGTTGAGAACCTTATAGTTGGATACCTCATATCTTTGCAGAAAATTACTCAAATATCTCTGCAGTTGAAGAGGCTAGCATGAGAATTTGATCTAGTTACAGCATCTTTCATTGACATGGACAAAAAAAGTTCAAAAATAATTTCGGAACTTGCAATGAGTTGTTCCCTGTTGGCCTTCTGTACTGGATTTGCTCTCTACATTCCAAGCCTAATTAAACCTATTTCTAATAGTGGTCTGGGAATTCTAGAGAGAGTTTTAGACGCAATGTTGGTTCAAAATCTAGTTGGACGGTTGGGGAACACCAACCCTGAAACCAGTAAAAATCTGCCTGCTATTGGAGGCGGGTAGAAATCCCATGGATTGTTTTCACATGCAGTCGAGAACCCCAAGCATGTAGGATTGGTTCTGAAGCAAGATATATTCTTAGTGTTTGTAATTATGCGGTTTCAGGGATTGCTGGCTTGAAAAGTAAGGCAAACAGAGTACATAATGAGGAAGGACTATCCCAATTACCCAAGGATGGCTTAAAGCTTCTGTATGACATTCTTATGAAATGGATGCAAATCCCCTTCCGTACGCCCAAGTACTTCTTTAAATTAAGGTACACTGTCCACTGTTATTTTAACTAGAAAATCTTTTTGTTGATTTCTCAATTGAGTTTATAAGACAGGAGGAGAAATAAAAAGGTACGTCCTGATAAGAGAATTTCTCTATACATATCATATGCTTTATCCTGTTTTAACTGTGTAATTTTTGTTAGGTTATCTATTAACATCATATTATTAAGTATACGATTTTTTCTTTTCCATTTACACCATCATTCTAATGTTTATGATTTACATAAATTTCAGGCCTTGCCTTGGTTCAGAACTCTTCGCTGTCAAAGAAACTAGAAACCCAGATGGAATGTATGTTTCCCCAGGCTTCAACTTGTCATCAAATCTGCGACTTCAATTAAGAAATGTGGCACCAGATGTCCCAGTTCGGTTGAAAAACTTGTACTGCATGCTCTGCAGTAGAGTAACCTTTCAGGAACCAAGAGAAAGTGGAGTAAACAATCAGCAAAAGCAGGGTAGTTATCAAGCTCGGGAAACTGATGACATGGTAGAGATGAACGAAAAGCTGTTGCAGTATGTAACAGAGTGCAGTACAAAAAAGAGTAATAAGCGTCAAAGGGGCAACAATGATGGTGAGTTTGTAAATTCGTTTGTGCGTTTCAAACTGAATGAAAGAGGGCAAGGGTTTGCAAATTGCGTGCTTGATGTTTCTGCTTTTCCAGTGCGTTCTTATAGAATCAAATGGCATAGCTGTTGTATTGATAGCTAGGGTACTCGTTGGACCCTCCCCTCTTTGAATTTGGGACCTGTATTTACTGTACAGAGGTTATAGGTTGATTTTTTAAATAAATTAAACCAAACTTGTAAATGATCTTGTTCTCTGTATTGATTCTACTGTATAGTTTGTAATTTTTCCAATCTACTTTACGAAGAAATTGTATCCTGCAATATTAGCCAATGGCTGTTCAATGTTGGGATGTACACTTGGGAAGCTTGAATTGTCTATTTTGTGAGATTCATGCGAGAGCAAAGCCAGAACAGACAACGCTCGAAATTCTATATTGAGGGTGTCATATATGGACCTTGCGTGTGGATCTTCATATTAGTTACATGATCATTTCATTAAACTTAAGTGAAGTTAATATTCAAATGAATTATGTGGCTAATATGAAGGTCCACATTTGTGGTCCATATATGGCACCCTCACCATCGAACGACTCTAGACAATGCAAGAAGCAATATTTTTTGTGTGTGAATGGGGTCTAGTCGAGTGGAAAAGGGCCTTCATTTGCAGATCGGTGGTCTCATATTTGAATCCCATGACACTAATGTGTGAGAGAAAAACTCTCTCTCCTTTCCTAACTTTAGCAAAACAAAAATAAACCCAAGAAACAAATTAAAAAGAAAAGCCCAACACAAATTATAGCCCAAAAGTCATCAATAAATAATAATAACAAACATATAATGAATATTCTTTTAAAAGACAAGCAAGAACAAAATTAGTCGTTCAACTAGAGTTCCTTAGGAACTTCAAATCCCCCGCCGAATTCAAACTACCTCTCCGTGCTTAATGAACCTCTCGTCTGCACGCAAGACATTTACCCTCATAACCTCACGCAATTACACTTGTGCCACTGTGCTCCACCAGCCTTTGAACCTCCACCATTTTCTTCAGCTTTCAGTTACCCACCACTCTCTTTCACTCACTCAACAAGCTCACGCTCAAGTTCTCACTCATGGCCTCCAACAAAACCCTTTTCTCGCCACAAAGCTCATCTCTGCTTATGCTCTTTGTGGAAACCCAACCAAGTCGAAACTCGTCTTCCACTCTGTTGAGCTCAAGAGTATGTATTTATGGAACTCATTGATTAATGGGTATGTGAGAAATTGTGTTTATAATAAAGCTTTTGAGCTGTTCAAAGAAATGTGTAACCGTAATGTATTGCCGGATGATTATACCTTAGCGACCATGGCCAAAGTTTCCGGCGAGGTTCAGGATTTGGTTGCCGGGAAATCTGTTCACGGGAAGAGTATAAGAGTGGGTTTTGTTTTGGATACTGTTGTTGCCAATTCTCTGATGTCTATGTATTGTAAATGTGGCAATTTTGGTGAATGTTGGAAAGTATTCGAGGAAATGCCTCAAAGAAATGTGGGGTCTTGGAATGCTATAATAGCAGGATATACAAGTTCTGTGGATGATGATTCTGATAAGGAAATTTGGGAAATTGCTAAATGCATGCTAATGAATGGGGTGAAACCAGACGGGTTTACTGTTTCAAGTATTTTGCCTCTGTGCGGAGGTGATAATATTGAGAAATGGGATTATGGTAGGGAACTTCACTGTTATATTGTAAAGTATGAATTGGATTTGAAATGGGGTTCAGATGTTCATCTTGGGTGCTGTTTGATTGATATGTATTCTAGGAGTAGTAGAGTTGATTTGGGGAGGCGGGTATTTGACCGCATGAAGTGTAGAAATGTATATGCTTGGACGGCGATGGTCAATGGTTATGCGCACAGTGGAGCTCCGGATGAAGCATTGGTTCTTTTTCAAAAGATGCAGGTCGAAGATGGAATACAACCCAATAGAGTATCCCTAGTAAGTGTCCTTCCTGCTTGTAGTTCACATGCTGGTTTAATGTGGGGGAAACAGATTCATGGGTTTGCTATCAGGAAGGAAATGAGTCACAATGTATCGTTATGTAATGCTTTGATCGATATGTACTCGAAATGTGGGAGCTTGGATATTGCAAGGCAAGTCTTTGAAGATGATTCTTTTTCGAAAGATGCAATCTCTTGGAGTTCAATGATTTCAGGATATGGTTTACATGGAAGGGGTGATGAAGCCATTGTCTTGTATAATAAGATGCTTCACCTTGGAATCAAACCAGACACAATAACTATAGTTGGGATCCTTTCCGCTTGTGGCAGGTCAGGACTGGTAAACGAAGGCCTTTCCATTTATAGCTCTTTATCAACTGATTTTAGAATTAAACCAACAGTGGAGATCTGTGCTTGTGTGGTGGATTTGTTAGGCCGATCAGGAGACCTCGATCGAGCATTTAATTTCATCAAAACAATGTCTGTAGAACCTGGTCCAAGTGTTTGGGGGTCTTTAGTTACTGCTTCTGTGTTGCATGAGAATCGTGACATGCAAGATCTAGCTTACAGGTTCCTTATTAAACTAGAACCCAAAAACCCTTCAAATTATATTTCGCTATCGAACTTCTATGCCTCTTCTAGGAGGTGGGACGTTGTAGCTGAAATGAGAAGAATGATGAAAGAAAGAGGGTTGAAGAAGGCACCAGGGTGCAGCTGGATAAGCATTAATTCAAAGACGCATTGTTTCTATGTTGCTGATAAAGCACATCCTTGTTCTAATTCAATCTATCGGATGCTTGACTACCTTATCTTAGTGATGAAGGGAGCCTGCTATTCTGATGATTTTGAACATCCAGCATAGATCCTTTTTATATTGGGTTGATACTACCATTTAGTGATATAATGATAGTTGTTAGTTTCTTACACAACTTTGTAAATATTTGGACATTAACGCATTGCTTAAAAGATTTGCAGCACACCAGTTCATGCTACTTTTAGATATGCAGATGGGGCTGCTCATAGAGTGTCACAATTATGCTCTACATAGAGGTGGCCCTGTGTTTGGACGCTATGTTAGAAGATTTATTTTTCTTGTACTGTGGAGGTTATCTTTTTTATTAAAAAAAAAAGAAATAAAAAAGGGGCAGCCTCAATGATCCAGGGTTGGCCACATCAGTTTTCGTTTTTTCGTCAAGTCAAGGCCGCATCAGCTTAATATAAGGTTTTCTTTTTCTTTTTTCACACTTGATGATACCGTGTATCCCTGTCCACCACACAAACAACAAATAGATATTCTCATGAATCAATCTAAAAACTAGATCTGGTTTACTTGTTTTCGTTTTGGGGAAGAGAGTAAGCAGTAGAGAGAATGGCTGAGGCAGTTGTTTCCTTTGTGCTCGAAAGTCTTAGAGACTTCACCATTCAGGAAGCCAAGTTCTTGACTGGAGTCAGCCATCAAGTTGAGGTTGCACAAAATGAGCTGCAATTGATGCAGGGATTCCTCAAAGATGCAGAAGCAAGACAAGGACAAGATGAAACGCTCCGTATTTGGGTTGCCAAGATTAGAGATGCTGCTTATGATTTGGAGGATGTCATCCAAACTTATGGCTTGAAAGTGGTTTCCAAGAAGAAAAGAGGTGTGAAGAAGTTTCTCAAAAGATTTGCCAGCATCTTCAAGGAAGGGGTCAATCTTCACAGGATTGGGAAAGAAATTGAGAATATCACTACCAAAATTTCTGCGTTGAGGTCGAGTTTGCAGAGTTATAATATAAAGGAAATAAGGGACAGAGACAGTAGTGGTGGTGAATCTTCCTTGCAATTGCATAAGAGGCAAGGACTACTCAGGCGAAGTTATTCTCATGTTGTTGAACGTGATGTTGTTGGGTTAGAGAACAATGTAGAAGAATTGGTAATGAATTTAGTGAAAGATGAAAATCGTCATCAAGTTATATCTATTTGGGGGATGGGCGGTTTAGGGAAGACCACCCTTGCAAGACAGCTTTATCATCACAAAAAAGTAAGGCACCATTTTCATAGTTTTGCTTGGGTCTGTGTATCTCAACGGTGTCAAGTAAGAAAAGTTTGGGAAGGAATTCTCTTCAAACTGATTTCTGCTACCAAGGAACAAAAACAAGAAATTAAGGAAATGACTTATGATGAAATAGCAAAGAAGCTTTTTCGTGTCATGGAAGAAATGAGATGTTTGGTGATCCTTGATGACATTTGGAGTATCAAGACATGGAATCTTTTGAAGGTTGCATTTCCAAATGTGGAAACAGAGAGCACAATACTGCTTACTACACGCCATCAAGCAGTAGCTTCGCTCCCAAATAGAAATGTTTTTTTCCACAAACTCCAGCCACTCAATGAGAATGAGAGTTGGAACCTACTTGAGAAGAAAGCAATATCTGAAAGGGCTGATATCGGTATTTTCTCACACTTACTCTTTTTTGTTCCAGGTTCTTAGTTATATATAGCAAGCCACATAGAAACCATTACATAGCAACCCTTTACAATTTTTGAATACTGTCAAACATGCAGCAATTTTTGGCAAAAAAAGAAGAAGAAAAGAACATGTAGCAATTTTATTAACTGCCTTACTTGGTCACACATTTGTTAGGTAGCAAGATGGGAATTTATCTTATGCAATTGCAAATAATAATGAGGACAATGCTAGACAATTCAAAATTTTCTCCACCTTCTCTTCAATCCAACGAAATCCCATACATATTTTGTGTTGGTCCAGATTTTATTTTTTCATTTTTTTCATTTGGCATGTGTTAAAAAATCCAAACTTATAATAAGACAAAGGATATTAGTAAATTTCGGGATTTCACAATTTTAATTTTTAATCATTCAAGCAAAGGATACGCACGACAATTACTCATGCTACAAGTATGTATTTGATTTTTTTCTTTCTTATTTTTCAGATTTGGGAATTTTCACAAAGAAGAGAGAATTAGGAATGAAGATGCTCCGACATTGTAAAGGTTTGCCATTAGCCATCATTGTGCTTGCTGGAGTTCTAGGCAGAAAAAACACTATTAGAGAATGGGAGATAGTGTATGAGAATGTTCATGAATACATAAGTAGAGGCATAGGTCATGAACAAGAATATGAAGAATATGAAGGTGTATCGCAAGTGTTGGCATTGAGTTATGATGACCTACCGTATTACTTAAAACCATGTTTTTTATATTTAGGTCATTATCCTGAAGACTGTAATATTTGGGTGAGCAAATTGACTAAGTTATGGGTGGCAGAAGGTCTTATTTCCTTGAGACAACAAAGACATGGTTTGGGGGAAACAATGGAGGATATAGCACGTGATTGCTTAAGTGAGTTGGTGGAAAAGTGTTTGGTTCAAGTGGGAACAAGTGGTTCAACTGGGACAATTAAAACTTGTCGAATCCATGATCTTGTACGAGACATGTGTTTGTTAAAGGCAAAAGAGGAAAGCTTTTTCCAGATTAACTATTCTTTGCAAGAAAATGAGGCAGCTAATCCATTTACTTCTTCTATGGCAGCCAAGGCAGCACAATTGGGGAAAATTCGAAGACTTGCAATTTACTTGGATGAGAAAGCAGATAGGTTGGTTTCTTCAAGAGATGAAACAAATGGGCACGTAAGGTCTCTATTATTCTATGGCCTAAGAGAATGGAAGCCAAAAAGTGAAAAAGTATTACTATCTCCGTTGAAGGATTTCAAAGTGCTTAGAGTTTTGAAGGTTGAAGGTCTTTATAAAGTAGAAGTAGAGTTGCCAAGTGAAATTGGAAATATGGTACACTTAAGGTTTCTAAGCGTGAGGAGTAGCGAAATAAAAAAGTTTCCGCCATCCCTAGGTAATTTAGTATGCTTGCAAACTCTTGATTTTCGTGTTTCAAGTTATATCAACATGGTCATCCCAAATGTGATAAAGAAGATGAAACAATTAAGACATTTATATTTACCCTTGAATTACACAGCAAAGGATAACATGGAGCTGTCTACTCTTGGCCATCTACAGACCTTATATAACATTTCAAGCAAGTATTGTGATTTGAGAGATGTTGGTAGATTAACCAATCTTAGAAAATTGAGAATAAGACTGTCAAGGTCTTTGCAAAATTTGGAGGAAATCTTAAAATCTACAAGCAACATGCTTAACCGTATCCGGTCTCTAATTGTAGATAACAAAATGAATAGCGGTGAAGAGCAAGCTATGCAAATAGTATCAAGCTGTTGGCATATATACAAATTGGAGTTGGTAGGGCCAATCGCAGAATTACCGAAAGAGCTCCACAACTATCCAAACCTCACCAAGTTAGTATTGTGGGAATGTGTTCTCAAGGAGGACCAAATGGGAATACTAGAGAAGCTGCGAAACCTAACAACTTTGCGCCTTGGATATAACACTTTCCATGACAATACAAAGATACTGGTTTTCTCCAAAGGAGGCTTTCCTTCTCTTCAATTTCTTTATGTTTCTAGTATGAACCAAATAACAGAGCTGAGGGTAGAGGAAGGAGCCATGCCTAGTCTCTGCCGATTGAGGATTTCATATTGCAGGGGATTGACGGCGCTTTCAGATGGGCTGAGTTATCTTACTAATCTCAGGAAATTAACCATTACAGGGATGCCTAGAGAACTCCACCATCGGATTCAGGAAGATGGAGAGGATTTCTATAAAATTCAACACGTACCTTCCCTTGTAATTGGAGAACCATACGACGAGTACGACGAGTACGATGCAATGATGGCAAGGTAATTTCTTTCTTTTTATTTTTTATGTTTTAAAATGTGCATTTTTAAGCGAAATATGGGGTCCCCTGTTTAGCTATGTTTGATTGGTTTTTGCTTGTGCTTGTGAGTTGTGAGTAAGAAGCTTAATCTAAAAGCCAACATGTTAAATTTCCTTATTTTATTACTTATAAAATGAAGCACCGACACTGACACCGACATCAAGAGCACAATATGATAATTCTATCGCATTCCAAATTCAAGTTTACGATGGTTCCGTGGCCATCTTATAATAATATTTCATGGCATATTAAAATACATCACCATTAGTTTTAGATGTTCTTTTTGAAGTCAATCAAGTAAGAGTTGAATATTTATGTGCATTTCAGAATCTTTGAGATGGAGAATCTTTCCATTGCTACGCGAACAACAATTAGAAAGCGAGAGGTAAACTGAAGCTACACTCTTGGCAACTTACAGACCTTACATATGCTTTCAAGTGAGTATTGTAATTTGAAAGATGTTGCTGGATTAACCAATCTTAGAAAACTGGACATAAACCTATTGTAAACCGCGTATCATTCTCGTATATGTGACTTGGGGCTAGAGCAATTCCAGGATAGGTGACTCACTGGGAAGTTGTTCGTGAGTTCCCAGAAACAAAATCGTGAGGACAAAGAGGGGGGCCAGAAACAACACTACCAATAATGGAAAGCTACTCAAATATCTCTGCAGTTGAAGAGTCTAGCACGAGAATCTAGTTACAACATCTTTCATTGACATGGACCAAAAAAGTTCAAAAATAATTTCGGAACTTGCAATGAGTTGTTCGCTGTTGGCCTTCTGTACTGGATTTGCTCTCTACATTCGCTGTTGGCCTTCTGTAACAGAGTCCAGTACAAAAAAGAGTAACAAGCGTCGAAGGGGCAACAATGATGATGAGTTTGTAAATTCGTTTGTGCGTTTCGAAATGAATGAAAGAGGGCAAGGGTTCTCAAATTGCTTGCTTGATGTTTCTAATCTCCCAGTGGGCACTTATAGAATCAAATGGCATAGCTGTTCTCAAATTGCTTGTATTGATGTTTACCGTACAGAGGTTATAGGTTGATTTTTTAATAAATTAAGCCCAACATGTAAATAATCTTATAGGTTGACTTTTTTATAAATAAATTAAGCCAAATATGTAAATACTAATACGAACCCTTCAATCCATTGACAATGTAACGATATTCTACATTGTGATAAAATAAGGATAATTAAATTTTGAGGAGCATATTGATAGCATTCATAATTCTATAGTTAACTAATTTTTCCAGTTTTGAACCATGCTGCTATGATGTCTATTTACATAATGTTGTAGTACGAATTAATTTGTGATAAAATTAGGCGATAAGGATCTTTTTCTAAGCTTTCTTTAGACGCTGAATTCATGAAAATATATTGAGAATTGAATTTTTGGTGAATTTATAAAGTTGAAACAGATGCACAGGAATTTTCCTGACAGTTTCTGCATTATGAATAAAGATTGTTGAATGACTCACTTAAAGATCTTCAAATGAACTGAATTTTTGATATGTTGAGCATATACGTGTCTTCGTGAATTCTGAAAAGTCTCGTGATTATTGGATGTATAGATTATTTGTGAGAATTTTATTAGTGATCTGTGTTCAGGAAAAGTATGTGCTGACAGATTTTCTGAGTAACCTTGTAGGTCAATTTCAGACTTTTTAATTAGCTATAAAACGACTCATTAATTTTTCTGTTTGAAGATTAATGACTCTAGTTTGTTTGCATTAAATTTGATACTAATCCGATTTATAAATTAATTATGG